ATGATTATAGTAAATTTATCGGCAATTTTTAGAGAGAAATTCTTTGCGTGAGCAGATTTATGCAGCCAGTCTCGATTCAATTTTCAATGACGGTCTTTAATTAAATACACTCAAATATTTTATATTTATAAAGTTAATTTTTTGACGTGATAACGTCTTATAAATTGATGAACACCAGCAACACACATGAAAAATAGTAACATTCCACCTGAGCCTGTGCGTGCAAGCGAGAGCGCGCAACAAGCGATAGAGAGACACGATAAAACAAACGATAGAGAGGCCTAAGCGTTGGCTAGTGATACATATATCTCTCTTCTCGCGTGACGTCAGAGCTAGCAGTTAGAATATTGTTCTATAACTAATTCGTTCGTGATTATATTTAAATAAATTATTTAAATTAAATTTTCAAAAACTGTAAATAATATTTGAAAATTAAAAATTAATGTTTTAAACTAGTTTTAAAAATATTTATGTCAAATTATATCAATGATATTCGATTATTATTGTTGATAATATTAATAATTGTTAATAAATAATATTAATTATAAATAAATAAATTAACAATAATTATAAACGATAAATTAATAAAATAGTTGATAATAAAATAATAATAAATTGATAAAATAATTAATATTAATTATAAATAATAATAATTAAATCAATTATCAAATTATTGTATCAATTTTTGATTAACATTGTATCAATAAGTCTTTTTTTTTTGTTAAAATGATTTTAAATATTCAAAATTTTTTAATTTTCAAATACAAAATAATGATAATTCAGTGATACTAATTCAATTCAATTTATAAAAGTATGCAATTTTTCATCAATATTTCTTTATGACGTTATCACGTAAAACTATCGTCCGTAAACCGACTTTACAGACAACCAATTTTTTTTGTAATAGTTTACAGAGAAACTTAGATATTTAAAATGATATAGGGTAGAAGTACCGTTTGTGGCCACTTTATTTTCAGATTGTTTTATAAATAATTCTATAAGCCAAGACTTTATGAATTTAATTCGTATAAATATACTAATTCATGAATTCTACAAAAATTCTATTTGAATAGTTAAACTTTTTAAAAATTCACTAAAATATCAAGCGGCCAAAAATGGTCCTATGATGGCCAAAAACAGGACTTGTACCCTAAGCTTTGCAGTAAAAAAATTTAATGATATATTTTTATCTATTTACCTATTCCAATCATAAAATAAGTGCTCAAGGCATTCATATTTAAATTTATCAAACTTTTTACATTTATCACCCTATAAAGAGAGAAAGAGGGAGAGAACGTAAAACACTCAATGCCAAACGAGCGGTTTTTTTTTGAATAGCTAAATTTTTGAAAGCATACAAAAAGTATGAATGCACTCCTAAGTTTTAGGTGAATAACTTGGAAGCTTTTAGAAAAATCGTAATCGTGTATTTCGTACAATTTTGGCTGTGTGCGCGTACATACGGTGAATATAACATTTGAACAAAAGATGAAACACTCTAAAAGCAGCATTACAGTCATACGTTGGCTGTATATCATTACACGACTTTATAACACCACAACTCTATTTGGCACTATGTACATAATCGGGATATGTATTTATATGCTCTTTCATCTAAGCTTTCAGATAAAAAAGTTGCTATATGTGAGAGTGTGTGTAAAAGTCAAAAGTGCGGAAATTCCTGATATGACATGAAGCGCTTTGATAAAAAATTTTTCAGTTCAATATAATCGCGTATAATAATTTATCCCTATTTTTTTTTTTTTTTTTTATTATTATTATTATCGTCTTTTTTTTAAGTCAATTATTTGATCTTTATTTTTTTTTGGCGCATACGGAGGTAAAGAAAAGAAAAAAAAGCGATAAATTTATATTGAAGTTAGGTGAAATGGTGATGGATAAAATTTGTTCCAATGCAGTAATCACTGTTGATGTGATAGAGAATATAAAGTCAAGTTTAATCTGGTGGAATTTTCACATCCAAGTGACTTTACGGGGATGGGAATTTTTTTCAACGGTTTAAATTCAGGTAAAGAAGCTGAAAAAGCGATAGAGTGGGTGGAAGAAGGTGAGTATGAGGAAGAAGTGTGAAAGGAAAAAACAAACAAAGGAAAACGGAATTTTTAGACAAGATGAAAAAGACTACTGAAAAATCGGCGTTTCGTTTCTTCGGTTTCTCCTCCGTCATACCTTTTTTTTTCTTTTATTTTCATTTCACGGGTGTGGCTGAGTCTAACGGCGTGCGGGCATCGATTTTTCTGTCCGTTTCCCAATAACGTGTCAGTCTGGAATCTACCAAGTAAAACCCGACTATTCCCATTTCATCGGTTTCTTACTACATTTTTGGTTTATTACTATTATTATCATTATAATAATAATTGTTGTTATTATTTTTTAAGTAGGTCTTACACTATACATTGATTTGACTCTTATCTAAAGCTCTAAAATTCTTCGATATTTTTACTCGAAATTTAGGTTGTCATGCATAAAATAATGATAAATAAACGTCCAAATATTTACTGTCTAGATTGTAGTTACGGGAGCTGTTTGATACGGAATAGTGAGGATAGAAAATTTTAAAGCGGATTTGAAAGAAATCTAAGAAATATCGTTCTTTGAAGAATATTCTTGCCTTGAAGTTATTTCAAGACTCATGAAAATATTTTCTGATATCCCGCATGGAAAAATATATATACGAAAAATATATGCAAATATATATATTTTCACATATATTTTTTTTGCGGTAAATATATGTCCGCATATATATATGTTCACAAATATGCGTAGATATATGTTCACATATATGCGCGCATATAAATGCAATATATATGTCTAGAGATACACACAAAAAAATTTAACTTGAATCAAGTAAATAATTTTGAAGAATTTAACTTTCTTGATTTAAGTAAAAAAATTTTCAAACTGAAAAATTTTTAACTTCCCGCTAAAAATCTCATATTTTCACAAATCGGGAAGTTATTGTTTTCACCCCGTTTTACAAAAATCGAGTTTTCATCAGATCTCGACGTTTGAAGGTCACAGGAAGCTTCCCTGACTATTTTTACGATGATGTCCGTACGTCTGTATGTATGTGTGTGTGTATGTAAACCTCTTGTAACTTTTGAACGACTTGACCGATTTCATCGCGGTTGGGGTCATTCGAAAAGGCTTCACTAAACTTAGATTTCCTGAAAATTTGAACCGATTCGGACCGGTAGATTTCGAGAAAATCCAAAAAAAGTGAAAAAAAAAGTTGTTTTTTTTTTCATTTTTTTTAAATATCTCCGAATTGGCTGAACCGATCGGTCTCCAAAACTAATCAGCTCTTAACCTTGAAAACCCCCATGGATCGCCACCAAAAACGTCAGAATCGGTTGATGCGTTCGTGAGATATCGTTGTCGAAAAAAATCGAAAAAAGTGTTTTTTTGTAATAACTTCGAAATTCATGACTCGATCGATTTAAACTCGAAAATTTTTCATGGAGCTTCAGAAACTGCGTCGATTGCCGCCAACCGCGTGAAAATCGGTTCATTCATTCAAAAGTTATAGCAGTTTAAAAATTAAAAAAATCGTGTCTTTAAACTGCCATTAGAGTTTTGAGCTCGAAGAGCTCAAATTAACACAAAAACAATATTTTTGAGCTCGAAGAGCTCAAAAACGTAATGTGTAGTTTGAAGCGTTTAAGTACAAAATGAGCGGGAAGTTGCAGGGATGGCCTTTAGGGTGAACCGTTTTTCTAATTTTTTTTTTCAGTGTATGCTTACATATATGTCTACATATATTTTAGCATATATGTCAACATCTATGTGAAAAATATATGTTGACATATTTTTTTTTACGTAAATATATGCGACATATATTTTTGACATATATATTTCTCCATGCGGGATAGTTCGATAATTTTAGGACTAAAGTTAGTGTTGAAAAAGTCCGACAGGTGGCGTATGATTGTTGAATTTTCTTATTAGAAAAGAGTTTAGTTTGGAGTTTTGAGTTATAAAGTGAAAATAATTTTTTTACTTTCCTAAGGAGCTTATCTGACTTTGATTTATAATGTAACTAACGAGTCAGTTAATTTTTTGTTTAATTTAACATATTTATTGACGTACAAATTTATAGAAAAATTGAAGGATGGAAAATAATGATGAATAATTTTTTATTCTATTATATAACCTGATATATATTAGAAAACTTTTTTACGAGGATCGAAAAAAAAAATGTACTTGCTGTCTCAAAAGATTTGATAATTTATAATAAATTGTTTCTTTAATTTTGTGTTCTACCGTGCGAGCTTAAAAAGTATTTAATAAGAAATAAGTACATTTAGCTTACAAGCAATTTTCAACTATGTAACTTAAAATATGAAAGTAAAAAGTCTCGAGCTAAATTACAGCTGCATCAATTATGAAAATATATAAAATTGTTGAGTATTTATGCAGCGATGTGAAAATAAAAGTAAGTTTTAAATGAGACGTAGAGTAATAAAAGTGATAAAATAAAAAGGGAATAAAAAGGATGTAAAGTCATTAAATAGAAGTGAAATCAGTGTAAAAATAACTAAAAGCGACAGTTTTTATGTCTCGAGTGAATAACACCGAAAAAGTCGTTTTTTGATCATCTATCTAAAAACCCCAAGGGGATTGTATAACCACAATTCTTTGTAGAAAGTTAAGTTATATTTTTTTCTTGTTCATTTCCGTGTTCAATCTTCTCGTTCATTTTAAAATATTACGACGTTATTTCCATCAAGGCACAAACACTATAAGTCTAATATAAATGCGGTCTTACTTGACTCTGCATAAAAAAAAATTGTATTAAATTTATCCAGAAATAAAATTATTAGTAACTTAATAACCTTTACTGTCATTCTAATTGCTATTTTTAATGTTATTGCAATTTAAATTCAAATTTGATAGACTTTGCGAATCGATTGAATTTTAGGCTTCGATTGTGCAGTTGTAAAAAAAATTTTTAATTGATGCACTGAAAGAGAATTTACCTGCAGGCAATCCCTGGAACTTCTCGTTTTGTACGAGTTCAAAACGCTCGGTAAATTGTTTATTCTAAAGTTTTCAGCTCTTGAAACTGAAAAATACAACTTGTATTCTTTTTCGAGCTTTTTAAGCTCGCAAATTTAGTGGTTGTAACTACAAACTTTTTAACTTCCCGCTAAGAAAATCGGGAAGTTATTGGTTTTACCCCGTTTTGCAAAAATCGAGTTTTCATCAGATCTCGACGTGTAAAGGTCATAGGAAGCTTCCCTGACTAACCCCGCGAGGTTGTCACTATGTCTGTATGCATGTGTGTGTGTGTGTGTGTGTGTGTGTGTGTGTGTGTGTGTGTGTGTGTGTAGCGCTAAGAAAATTGAAAATTTTCAAAAATCGGGAAGTTATTGGTTTTACCCCGTTTTGCAAAAATCGAGTTTTCATCAGATCTCGACGTGTAAAGGTCATAGGAAGCTTCCCTGACTAACCCCGCGAGGTTGTCACTATGTCTGTATGCATGTGTGTGTGTGTGTGTGTGTGTGTGTGTGTGTGTGTGTGTGTGTGTGTGTGAAAGTATATGAACCGCTTATAACTTTTGAACGGCTTGACCGATTTCATCGCGGTTGGTGCCATTTGAAAGGGCTTGGCCAAACTTAGATTTCGAAAACTATTTGGACCGATTCAGATTGATAGATTTTAAGAAATCTTCAAAAAACTGAAAAAAAAAACTTTTCTCAAATGAAGGTTTTTGGGAATAGCTTTCAAACGGCTTGATGAATCAACTCTAAAAACTAATCAGCTCTTAACCTCAAAAAACCACGTCGATCGCCACCAGTCCGGTCAAAAAAAGTGTTTTTTCGGAATAACTCCGAAATTTTTCGCTCGATCAATTAAAACTTGAAGATTCGTTGTGAGGCTTGAAAAACTGCGTCGAATGCTGCACACTGCATCAAAATCGGTTCATTCATTCAAAAGTTATTGCGGTTTGAAAATTTAAAAAATAGTGTTTTATCAAACCTCTATCCGATTTTTGAGCTCGAAGAGCTCAAAAGCATACAAAAGCCATTTCTTTGTTCGGAGAGCTCAAAATAATACACAAATTGTATTTTTGAGCTCGGAGAGCTCAGAAATGTCATATAAGTGCAATTTCAAGCGTTTAGGTATGGAAGTTGCAGGGATGGCCTTCAGGGTCAACCGTTGCCTAATTTTTTTAAATTCTAAATTGCGATATCTTTTGATCGAATCAATCCTTTTCAACGGGGCTTGCAGCGTTCGACGCAGTTTTTCAAGCACAAAAAATTATTTATCTCTAACCAAACAATTCAACTTAAAATGTTTAAGTTATGTTAAAAAAACACTTTTTTCGAATTAGTTTAAATTAAATATCTTTCGGACGATTTGACTGATTTTCATACGGCTTGTGACAATCGACGCAGTTTTCTGAGCACAAAGAGATTATTCATATACATAATGTGTGGTCCAAACAGAAATTTCAAAGTTATTCCCAAAAAACCTTATTTTTTTTTCTGAAAATTATATATTTGAGATTTCTCGTCATCAACCGAACTGAATTGATTTATACTCACAAACAATCTCGTAACAACGATGTTCTTTCGAACGCCGCCAACCACGTTTCGATCGACTCAACCGTTTAAAAGTTACCGGATGTTTACATACATTTTCGAAAACCGGGGTGAAACCAATAACTTCCCAATTTTTTTTAAATCATGGATTTTTATTGCGGTAAGTTGAAAATATTAATTTATTAAATATTAATTTAATTTAAGAAACTTACCTGCTAGACAAGACAATAATAATAAAACTAAAACGAGAAAAGAAAAAGTTTGCCTAATATAATTGTCATATTCTGCGGCAATAAATTTCAATAAAGTGACCTCTACAAATTTCTTCTTATCTTAATCTGACTGGTCATTAGTGTCATTCCTTTTACGCTGTGTTTTTCCTGATTTATAATTAATAAGGATTACTGGGGTCATATCATTTCGTTGTTTTGCCGATCCTGTTATTGGCCTCTAGGCGGTGCGGTCTTCAGTAAAAAAGTAAATCAATAACCTACACTCAGTGTAACATTGGCCTATATTTCCGAGAAAATCCTCAGAGGAAAAACATATATGAAGAACTAAAGATTTAGAGTTTAATGATCTGTGAGCTTCCAGTATAATTTGCGATGTACACTATGCACGTACAATTTTGTTAAATTAGTAAATTTTTTAGTCAGATGGATCGAAGTCAAACAAGTTGTAGGTACCATTGACCTTATGACTTCTTGAACTAGTTTTTTAATTATATTATACAGTGCTGATGATTTGTTGACATCTTAATCGAAACTAGAGGACATTTAAAATCGAAGAAATCTGTCCATTTTAAATCGTAGGAAGATGAATTTCGTGAGGAAAACTTAGGCAAAAATAACTTTGCTAATAATCTATATAATTAAGGGAATCAAAAACATTTTGTCTGCGGCGTATGCATATGATGAAATGAGTTTTTAAATTAAATTTAGTATCATTGAGAAGGTCTTGACCCGAATTTGTGCCTTTTCAATGTTTCATATGCTTTTCAGCGTAAGTAAATTTATTATGATAAAATTTCGAAGTAATTCTAAATAGATTCAAATTTCGCTATAAACGTAATTCGTTTATTTATTTATTTTGTTTGTTACATGTCAATGTGGTTAGGTAAAAAATTAATTCATATGATTGAGAGACTAAGAAAAACTTCTTAACGAGTATATCTTTATGATAAAATGGATTTGATGTTTCTTCAGCGATAGTCATTTATGATTTAAATAATTGAGAGAGTAAGGAAAATTTTGTGACGAGCATATTATTATTTTAAAAGGAATTTTGTATAGTTGAACTATACTAGTCAAATATGATATCAGAAAAGTCTTGAGAATTTGTGTCTTTTCACGAATTTATGTATTTTTTGGGACAATCAATTTTTTACGCTAAGTTGTTGAAGTAGTTTTTAATATTTTGTTGGTTCTATACAAATTTAATCCGTAAAATTTGTGTGATTAGAAATATCAAAAAGTCATTAAGCGAAAATTTTTTTATTCATAATCTGTAAGACTCAGCAGTCGCATGATGACTAGAATACTACAGGCTGCTAGTAATAATTGTGATGATATTGATGATTTTAGTGATGATTGATGGTGATAATGATATTGTTGATCGTGACCACATCAATTATCACATGAGTGATCATGATCATGATAATGATGATTATGACTAAAGTGATGATGATATTGATGATCATGGTTATTATGCTTTTGGCGATATTAATAAGCATAACCATAATTACAGTAGTATTAACAATCATAACCTCGATAATCATAAAAATACTTACGATATTGATGATATTAACAACAGTCATAACGATCAGTGATTGTGGTGATTATGGTAATGATGATATCGATGATCACGACCACAATCACAATAATATTGATGATAGTAATCATAACCATAGTAATAATGTTTCTAAGGAACATGTTTATTTTAATCATGGTAATAATTATATTGATGATTGTTGATACTTGTGATCACGACTACGATAATTATCATAGAGATGATCACGAAATTGATGATTATGATCATTTTCATGATGATATTGATGATCGCAGTTATCATAGTCATCATGATATTAATTATTATAGGAATTATGATAATGATAGTATTGATGATTTTGCACAATCATGATTATGGCCATAACCACAATTATGATTATTATGATAATGGTGATATTAATAATCATGGTGATTATGATATTGATAATAATAGTCATAATAATGATAACTTATCATGATAAGATTACAGTCAATAACGATGGAATCTTTATTTCAATTTTTGATAGCAGCTATAATCAATAATTTCTTAATAAATAATACAATTATATCGAAGCACATATTTTAAATTGAATATTAAAATGAATTGAAACAATTACTTCGAGAAAGATCAAATGGAACTTTAATCGCGTAATGACTGAAAGAGACTGAGCGAGAAAAAAGATAGGATGAAAGGAAAGCGAGAAAATTGGTTTCCGAGAGTACCGAGGACGAGGATAAGTTCAACAGTTTTCAGTTTTAAAAGTTCAACATTACCCGAGATATTTAATTATTTTAATTTAATCAACATCACAAATACCATTATGACAAATAACAACTTTTATTTAATATTCTGCGTTTTATAAAATTTACTCACCGTCATTTAATAATAATAATAATTATGCATCTAATTTATTTAGTCAGAACGCGTGGATAAACATAAGACTACTTTTACATTTACAAATTATGGTGGTCACGGTTATTTTGTCATTTAAGCCAATTGCACTGAATGCAGACGCGAGATGTAAGAGACTTAATTAAATGGATTCAAGTATGTGAGCGACTTCTAGAAAAATAGCAGTAAAATGAAACTGTAAAAAAAGTACATGAGAGAAAAAACATTGTATTGCCGCTTTGGACTGGGTTAAATATGCAGAAAGTGAAGGCTTTTTACATGAAATACACAGTTGTTTATTTCAGATTTCAGAATCATTAAGGTATGATATTCAACTTCTGTAATGAAAAAATTACATCGAGTACCCACTTGGAGGAAATATTCCATAGAATTTTTAATGTGTTGGCGAGAAATTAAATTTTTATATAATTTGGAGCTTGAAGACTTGAGAAATGTTATAAATAATTAAAAAATCAAGCCTAGATTTAAAGGTCAAACATTTTTTGTTGAAATTTTTTCATTACGCACTTTTATCTAAAAAAAAACAAACAATTTTAAGCTATTAACTACTTGTGATTATCAATTTAATTTTTTTTTTTTTAATGGACTCACATTCTTACGAAACTTTAACGCTTCTTTTATCTAACCGATTCTGTATTATGTTGATTGCACATCGAATGATAGTAACATAAAAAAATAGCTTTATTAGTAGCAATAAAATTTTTTTTATAAGTGGACAATAGTTTTTTTTTTTTTCAATATCACAATGTTGAATTTGGTTTTGATTTTCTTGAAATTATTTTCGATCTCGATTATTCTACATCTACATGAGGAATCTGTAGCTGCATTAAACATTAGGGCGTTTCAAAAAAAGACGAATTTTTTTTTTCTTTTGGTGTCTAAAAATTGATAGTATACCTAAAAACAAAAATTTTGGCGCCCATGTGAGCTCTTAATATCAATAGTAAGATTTGCCTGTATCCATTTCTTCATTTTCCATTTAAATAACACGGGAAAAATTTTTTTTAATTTTTTAATTTTTATTACTTTGGAACGGTTCATCGTAACAACAATCTGAAAAATGATATTTGTAGGAAATTTTACGCTCTACAAAAAACGTCTGAAGACCTAAGTTCCTCAGATTAACGGCTTCAAAGATATCCGCGGTCAAAGATAACACTAATAAAAAATTTCAAATATTTTCCAATAAAACTACAAAAAAAATATCATATGCTATATTTTTATTATTTTTTATGTAAAATTACTTTAATTTTGTTAACCTGAGACTGTAAACTTTTTTTTTTTACTAATTAATTCAATACTTAACTCACGAAATGCACTAAGATATAAATATAAACGTTAAAAATATCACATAAATGATTTTTTGGTCTTTCTTATAACAAATTTATCTTATATTTTATAAAATTTATAAATTTTTGTAAGAGGAAAATGTAAAGTCCCTTATTACACAAACTCACCAAACACTCATCATTGCATATTATTCAAAATAATATGAAAATTCTGTAAATACGTTAAATCAATTAAATCTACTATAAAACTTGATCAAATGTTTTTTATTTGAAAAATATCAACAGAGCTTTATTTAGCTCTGTCGGTACAGAGTAATATACTCATTTAATTTGAGTGTTGTAGCTAATAAGCTCTGTGTTGGTAAGCCTGGTTGTTCGGTACTAACTTCATTTAGTTGCTTTGCTCTCAACACTTTACTATATCTTTTCGTCATTGTCTTTGTTCATTGATACTGACTGTTTTTTTAATCCGTTATATTATTAATTTAATTAGTTGAAATATATTAGTTATAAATTTTGTGACCATAATGGTGAAAACAGTGTACTTGATTGGTGATGTGTTAAGTGAATTAGTTAGAAAAAAATTACCCTCTCTGAAAGACGTTATGTCGCTTTTATTTTATTATCTTGACACGAAAAATTTTTCAGTTAAAGAAAGTATATCAATCACTATCGACAAAGTTTTTGAAATTTGGTGTGCGGCACAAATCCCGACAAGAGAGAAAAGATCTGCTTTTTTGAAACTAACCTCAAATCACAATCGATGGAAGAATTTACAAAAAAACCGTAAAATGAGAAAGTCAAAGTCTCAAAAAAAAAAAAGGAATCCGTTTTTAAGGATGAATTAAATAAACTATTTGATGTAGCTCATTCGGATGTTTTAAATATACTGGACAAAGAAAAAAGATTATTTTATTTGGGACAAAAATCTTCCAGTCGACGTGGTTTTATTTCATATAATTCTCAACCAATTTTAGAAGATGTCGAAGACATGGATGTTGATATCAGCAATGTCAATTTGTGTCTATGAGATCGATTAATATATTTGAATCGTTTAATTTGTCGTATGAGTTCATTGATGAGGATGTTACTTTGTTTCCTCAGAATCCGAATTTCTTAGAAAACTTGGAGTTTTTCGGGAAACTTCAAGTTGTGAATGATGTAGCAGAATGCGGCGTGGCATTGATAGAGCAGTATAATCGATGCTTAACGAAAGATGAAGAACAGCTTCAATATTTGTTGCAAATAGTGACAGAACATAGAAAACAATATCCTAATTGCAATAAAAGTAATTTTATAAAACTGTAATATTTTCAAGTTGAAAAATTGTTGTAACAAGTTGTAAATATAGTTTTTTGTTATAAAGAATTAATTGTTCAATTAAATTTCTTAATATTTAGTAAAGAAAAAAATAAATTTGTTATAAAAGAGACCAAAAAATCATTTATAAGATATTTTTAACGTTTATATTTATATATTAGTGCATTTCGTGAGTTAAGTATTAAATTAATTAGAAAAAAAAAAAGTTTACAGTCTCAGGTTAACAAAATTAAAGTAATTTTACATAAAAAATAATAAAAATATAGCATATGATATTTTTTTTGTAGTTTTATTGGAAAATATTTGAAATTTTTTATTAGAGTTATCTTTGACCGCGGATATCTTTGAAGCCGTTATTCTGAGGAACTTTGGTCTTCAGACGTTTTTTGTAGAGCGTAAAATCTCCTACAAATATCATTTTTCAGATTGTTGTTACGATGAACCGTTCCAAAGTAATAAAAATTAAAAAATTCAAAAAAATTTTTCCCGTGTTATTTAAATGGAAAATAAAGAAATGGATACAGGCAAATCTTACTATTGATATTAAGAGCTCACATGGGCGCCAAAATTTTTGTTTTTAGGTATACTATCAATTTTTAGACACCAAAAGAAAAAAAAAATTCGTCTTTTTTTGAAACACCCTATTAAACATAAGTCGTCCAAAAAGATCTCTTGGCGTTAAAGAATGGTACTATTTGTGGCCTGAGGGTCGTATTCCTTATATCATAGATACTGGTTCATTCGACGGTTCTGAACGTAGACTTATAAAACAGGCGATGCGAGAATGGGAAAGATCAACTTGTGTTAGATTCATGGACAGACAAAATTTTAGGATTCATCCAGACTATGTATACTTCATGAAATCAGATGATGACTAAGTAGAATTTTTCAGTTAATGACAACAATTTATACTTTTAATGATAGCTACTATTTTGTTGATTTGTTTAAAGATGTTACACTAATAGTGTCGGAAGAAGACAAATTGGGAGAAACTATCTATGTTTAAGTAAAAACGGCCTGACCAAAAGAATTATTCTGCACGAATTGGGACACATTATCGGTTTATATCATGAACACCAACGTCCAGATCGCGATGAGTATGTAAAGATCAACACGGAAAATATCAAGACTGGCAAAGGTGAGGTTTTCATTTTTTTCATATTTTTAATAAAAAAAATTGGTAATGTGGATTTTTTATAGACACTAAAGATACTTTCAAGAAAATGATTTCTGAAAATTTTATTACTCTCAGTGAAAAATATGATTTTAATTCAATAAAGCATTATTCGATGAATAAGTTTGCACATGACCGATCTAAGAACACCATAACTCCTTTGAAAACCGAAGATATTGAAATCACCAAAATTGGAAGATACGAACAATTGAGTGATATCGACATTAGTGGTGTAAATCGGCTCTACAATTGTTCTGGTAAGTGTCAATAAAAGATATTATTATTAAAAACACCGGAAGAGTCGAAGAAGAAATGTTTACCGTTAATTAAATGACCTCAAGCTTTGGAAACATAAAAACTTGATAAAAATATTCATCAATTAAGCCAGTCTGTTTTTACCATAAAAATTATTTTTGTCTTTGAGACGATGCTTGTTGGAAATTTTTTTATAATTTGGCGTCATTTAATTACATTTAATGAATAAAATCTACTAAAAATTATTGAAATTATATGGGTCATGTTGAGATATAAAATAATTTTGATTGTTCTGTGTTTTCAGAATGTACAAAGTTGATTGAGGCTGATAGTGGAGTATTCGATGTAGTCAAGGATCTAAATTCTTCTACAAGTATAACAAAACACTGTGAATGGAGAATTTTGGGGGCGCCTGGTGAACAAGTTATTTTCCATATTTCATCTTAGAGTGTTCCTGATACTGTAGGCTGTCGGACTGATTATTTGCGAGTCAAAGATGACTTTAGAACACCTGGGTGGAATATACTAGGTGAGAAATTTTTGTAAATTATGCTGTGAATTTTTTTTCTTTTTTAATTACATACAAAATTTATCTCTGCAGTGGATGTATGTAGAGAAGGTGGTTGGGAAGAGGCAGGTTCTGAAGCTAGCCAATTGCTCATTACGTACCACACAAACACTTTGAACAGTAAATACTTTGGTTTCACTGGAAACTTTAGAAAAGTTTGCGGAGGTGACATAGATATTGTAGATGAGGAAAAGGAATATTATTTAGAATCTCCAGACTTTCCATATGAGTATACAGCTAACAAATATTGCGTTTGGCATCTAGACGCACCTCCTAACAGAAAAATTATTTTAAAATTTAATTATTTTCAACTTGAGGCATCTGAAAACTGTAAGAATGATTACGTTGAAACTCGAAATGATGATGCTTATTATTCACCGCTCATTAAGAAATATTACAATAATACCAGCCCAGAAGAGATTAGGTCTAGAGGAAATACTTTATATGTCAAATTCAGTAGCAATAACCAAATTCAAGATAATGGATTCTCTGCTATTGCAACTTAACGCAAATTATATTATTGAAATTTTGGCTATCCAAACTATCCCTTCAAAACTTTCATTCACATACGTCTTATCAATTTTAGTCCATTAAACTTCCAAATCAATCAGTATAAGTTAAAAATAAGATCTAGGCATGCTATTAAATTTTTATAATGTAAAAATTATATCAACTACTCATTTGGAGAAAATATTCAATATAATTTTTCATGTTTTCGTTTGAAATTAAATATTAATACAATTTGGGGCTTGAAGGCCTGAGAAAAAATGTTCTAGATAATTAAAAAAATACCGATAAAAAATCAAGCCTAGATTTAAAGGTCAAACGTTTTTTGTTTAAATGTCTTCATTAGACACCTTTATCTAAGAAAAAAACAACTTTATGCTATTAACTACTATTAAATATCAATTCAATAATTTTTTAATGGACTCACATTCCTACAAAACTTTAATGCTTCTTTTGTCTAGATGATACTGCATTATATGGATGATAAATCGGACTACAATAATATAAAAAAATACCACTGCGACCGGAATCTTGTCATTAGTTACCAGCCATCTACCATAATTGCTAGCAATAAAATTTTTTTTATAATTGAACAGCAGTTTTTTTTTTTTTTTTATTTAATTCAACAATGTTGAATTTTTTTTCGATTTATTTGAAATTATTTTCAATCGCAATTATTCTGAATCTACACGATGAATCTGTAGCTGCTTTAAGCATAAGTCGTTCAAAAAGATCTCTTGGCGTTAAAGAATGGTACTATTTGTGGCCTGAGGGTCGTATTCCTTATATCATAGATACTGGTTCATTCGACGGTTCTGAACGTAGACTTATAAAACAGGCGATGCGAGAATGGGAAAGATCAACTTGTGTTAGATTCATGGACAGACAAAATTTTAGGATTCATCCAGACTATGTATACTTCATGAAATCAGATGATGACTAAGTAGAATTTTTCAGTTAATGACAACAATTTATACTTTTAATGATAGCTACTATTTTGTTGATTTGTTAACGAAAGGTGTTACACCAATGGCGTTGGCAGACGTCATTCTGGTAGAAATCATGTGAACTTGGGCGAAAACAGTTTAACTAAAAGAATTATTATGCATGAATTGGGACACATAATCGGATTGCATCATGAACAGAAGCGTCCAGATCGTGATGAGTATGTTAGGGTCAATATGGACAATGTAAAGACTGAAAACGGTATGGTTTTTATTCTTTCAAACTTTTGATCATAAAAAATTGGTTATGTGGATTTTTCATAGGTACTGGACATAATTTCGAAAAATTATCACCTGAAGATGCGATTACGCTTAATCAGACATATGATTTCAATTCGATAATGCATTATCGCACGAATGCATTTGCACGTGACCGATCTAAACAAACCATAACTCCTTCAAAAGCTGAAGATATTCAAATCGAAGAAATTGGCAGACAAGAACGATTAAGTGAAATTGATATTAGTGGTGTGAATCGGCTCTACAATTGTTCTGGTAAGTTTAAATTGGGTAAAAGTACCGTTTTTGGCCACCTTAGCACCATTTTTGGCCAGTTAACATTTGAATTAATTTATAAAAAATTATAATTTTATAACCATAATTTTGTTGTTTTAAAAAATTTATATTTAAAAAAATTGAATTTGTAATGGTTTATTAATATAAATTAAATTCTATCGTTTATTTGAACAATAAATGGCCATAAACGGTACTTCTACCCTATATATTATTTAAACACTTAGTTTTACTCGAAGGTAAAAAATGGTTAGAATAAAAAGGACTTATAAAATTGTATACGTTTATTTTTGGTAAAACTTTAACTCTTTATCTTAACTAATTGGTTCTTTGAAATGAAAATTCAATGGTTTCTATTTATACAAAAAGTTGATCAAAATTTACATCAAACTTTTATCAAAAAAAAAATTAATCAATGCAATAAAATCGAAAAAAAAAAAAACTGAAGTAGCTTACACAAGATATTTACTACTAACCGTATGGTTTGAAACTTTAGAAACATCATTAATTTGAGAAAAAAATCGAAACGAACTTAATTTGTAACTTCCTGCTAAGAAAATTTTTTAGACTGGCTATGATATCTGAATTGACATGGTAGATTCTAAGAGAAACTCAAAAATTCGAGTTTTTTAATTTTCAAAAAATGGATTTTTTAGAATTACTTCAAAACTTCTGTTTTGATCAATCTTATGATCTAATCATCTTTTTTACTTAAGAAATGACGTCGACTTCCGTAAACCGTATCAGAATCGGTTGATTCGTTCGCGACAAAATCTCCTCGACAAAAAGCCCACACATGCACTTGTTATCTCGCTGTGCCCTTTTATCATCGTTTTTGTGTATATTTATACCAAAATTGCCAATGTCGCGGAGAGAATTCCCAGGAAGATTTTGTCGTGTCACGATTTTTTTGAAATAGAACCGTTTTGTCATTGTGGCGAAGCTGATTGAAAATAACTATCCCATTCGTTGTCGTATGGTTATAATTAATACAAAAAATAATTTAAATTAGATTAATACTGTTTAATAACTACATAATTTTAATTTTCATGTGATTTAAGATTGTAGAAAATTACTTGAGGGTGATCATGGAACATTCAATATAACCAATGATTTAAATACTTCATCCAGTTCAACAAAACATTGTGAGTGGAGAATTGTGGGGGCAACTAGTGATGAAGTTGTTTTCCATATTTCAAATTGGAGCATTCCTGAAAACGAAAGCTGTCGGAATAATTATTTGCGAGTTTACGATGAATCTAAAAAGGATTCTTTATATGATTAAAAATTTTTGAAATTATGCTTTCAAAGTTTTTTTGTTTATTTATATACAAAATTTATCTTTGAGCGAATCTCTGTGGACAAGGCGGTTGGGAGGAAGTAGGTTCTCGAACAAGCCAATTGCTCATTACGTACCACACAAATACTTTTAACAGTAAATACTTTGGCTTCAACGGAAACTTCAGGAAACATTGTGGAGGTCAGATAGATATGGTAGATGGGAAAGAATATTATTTAGAATCTCCAGGCTTTCCATATGAGTATACAGCTAACAAATGGTGCGCCTGGTATCTAGTTGTGCCTTTTCACAAACGAATTACTTTAAAATTTGATTATTTTCAACTTGAGGCATCTGAAAACTGTGAGAATAATTACGTCGAGATTCGAAATGGTGATTTTTCTTATTCACCGCTCATTGGGAAATATTGCAATAATACCAGCCCAGGAGAGATTTGGTCTAAAGCATATTCCTTATATGTTGAATTTACTAGCAATAATCAAATTCAAGATAATGGGTTCTCTGCTTATGCGACCTTACGCAAACCATATGTAGTATCGGATTATGATAGGATAAGATCGGCTGACCTATTTTAAAATACAGTAACTGCAAAATTTTTATACCCGATTTTTTTTAGTATTGCTGCATTTCTTATAACTTTTAGACCTTAATTTCCAGGATTTTTTCTTTAAAATATTTATATTAAAGTATTTTCTATTCATAAATCAAATTTTTTATCAGTTAGGCGCGCAAACTTTTTTTTAATAAGAAAAATTAAAAAAAATCTTAAAACTGTCAGTTACTGTGTTTTGAAATTGGGCAGCTGAGATACTAAATGTTTATTAAGTTGTTATTATTAAGGAATCACGGGGCGGTTAATTTAAGGAGGTCCTTTCGCCGCCAATGTAAAATAAAAAATATTAGATTATGAGTAAATTCAATTTTTTTCTAATAGTTAAGGCCCTTATTTATCTAATAGTGAGGTTTAAATTATACTTTACCGGACAAATTTTTAAACCTCACTATTAGATAAATAACTAAAACTAATCTGTTAGTGTTACTACGAAGTGCAGCGAAGTCAGTACAGTTCGAGACTTTCACGCGGGTGACCCAGGTTCGATTCCCATCGTGAGCAAAGATTTTTTCAAGGTAATCTGGTGTAATCGCGAGATACGATAACGTAAAGCTGATAATAAACCGTAAAATCACGAATACAATTAAAATCAAATTTAATTTTTTAATAATGTTTGCATTTTTTTTAGTCCTGGCAAATTAGTTCCCCAAGGCTTGGTCCGAGCCCTGGGCCATTTGTTTCCCAAGACTCGGCCCAAGCCTTGTGTTTTGGTTTCCCAAGGCTGGGGACATGGTTATCATCCAAGGCCCAATCCTTGGCCCAATGCTCAGCCAAGGCACGTGCCAAGCCTTGTATAATCCTAGAGACGCTTGGCCAAGGCTTGGTCCAAACCTTTCCCAGTTGTTCTTTCCTACCTGGGAAGATGTTATTATTAAGGTATCACGGGGCGGTTAATTTAAAGTGAGTATTTATTAGAAAAAATTGACAGAGTTAAAAGACAGAGGTCTGTCGTACATCGAAGTTAAGTAGGAACTGCCTGCTTGAGTCCCATACAATTATTTCTTACTTACTACCTGATGGGTTTCTCACCCCCGCATCGGTCATACTTTTAGCTTAAACTATCGGTACTTTAACATACATTTTTTGCCACGAGACAAATCTATACTTACGTTCCCACGCATACAAATATTTTCTAAAATATCTTCTACAACTAAACATCTGTTATTTGGGAATTTTTCTTAATCCCTTTATTTACAACCTTTTCGAAAAAATACTTGCTGCTAAGTACAAAGGTGCAATAAAACAATAAAATAGAGAAACTTAAATCTAAAAATGACCATTCCACACATATTATTGAAATTTTGGTTTTCCAAACTATTCTTTAAAATTTTTCATTTAAAAACTTATGATAAATATCAATTTATTAAACTATTGAATCAATTAGCTTATATTAAATAAAATCTTTTGTTTCGACTCACAAATAGAGGATTTGTTGATTTCTGTTTGCGTATGTGTAAATCCAGTGATTTTGACACTCACCTGAAACATAAAACACAAAAATATAAAATATTTATGTAAAATTTTCAATATTATAGCATTATTAGTTCACGGAAATAAGATATTTTGCATATTATTGTCAAAATAATTTTATTAGGATTAATTTCATCCTTTTCAAAAAATTATTAATTGCAATATAAACGGAAGAAAACATCAAAATAACTATAAAAATTGTCCTGTCCGTCATGTATGAAACCCTGAAAACATTGTAACTTGCCAAAATAGTATATTACGACCCAAGGCCAGAAAGTTGGATTTCCTGGCATATGTGATATGATGGCCGAGGCGTAGCCGAGGCTATCATATCATTTATTTGACACTTTTTGGTTGGTTTATGTATTGACATGTTACATACAGACGATGTTGTGACTGTTATATACAGTCGAAACTCGCTGTATAGGCCGGTCGCACCACGAAAGTACGAAAGAAAGCGAGGCTCTGTGCTCCCGGCCAGAAAATATGCGTAGCGCGCATGCGTAGAGAGCCGGCTGAGCCGGCCATAAATGTTGCTCTTCCTGGAGTAAAGTGCGTCCAGGATGAGCGTACTTTCGGCTAGAAGAGCAAGAAAAATACATTGATTGAGTCAAATTTTTTTTTTTAAATCCTTTGGAAGAATTGTAGGTCATTGGATACGAATGGCTAGATAACTATTCATTTTTAGAAATTTTATTTCATCTTTTGTGGAAAGATATGTGTACTCCTGTGCTGTCGGAATTGATCAGCAGATTTCAATGCCCGACGTTTTTTCTTCTTCGAAATGCGAAAAAACAAAGTTGTTTTCAGAGGCTGAATCTGTATTATTGAATTCATACAAGATTAAATGTTACAACACGAAGTTCATGTGAATTCCAAGTATGCGTCTAGTAACTATCACACGAAGCAATACAGCAGGAGAGTGGGGTGCCAAGAATTCAGATTCTGAGTCGTTTATTTACAATTAATAAAATCTTTAAAAAACCATTAGACTATATATGTATCTATATTGTGTACATTTATCCCACTGGGGGCGCGTGCGCATTATCGTCCTATTTCAGCTGTTTGATATTTTTTTTTTCACATTCCCTTTATTTTATTATAATTTCGTAATTAAATGAGCATTATGATTTGTGCACTTTTGGATTTTCCAAATGTTTTGTATATTGTTACTTTAATGTCAATTGAAGATTGCTAGAAAAATTTCAATACTTTTCTTTCAAATGATCCAAGTAAGTACTAAATTATTTACTAAAGAAAAATTTCTGATAAAGTTTTTGCGTTTTATTAATATTGTTCATCATACCTTCGGCAATAAATGAAAACAACTTGCTCCTAAATAACGATCTTCCTTCTCTTTCTGCCCAGCTACAAAGTTATTTTTCACCATACGAAAATAATTTTGTCTGCTAAACATATTGTCAAAATAATAAAGCAACTCACCTCTATAAAATACAGTAAATCAACCATTGACATTATTAATGATTAATCCACAAAGCAACCATTTTTTTCCGGAAATACAGACTACTTAGTGATCAGAATTCTTGGCACCCCACTCTCCTGCTTTATTGCTTCGTGTGATAGTTACTAGACGCACATTTGGAATCCACATGAGCTTCGTGTTGTAACATTTAATCTTGTGTGAATTCAATAATACAGATTCCACCCCTGAAAGCAACTTTGTATCTTCGCATTTCGAAGAAAAGATGTCGGGCATTGAAATCGGCTGATCAATTCCGACAGTACAGGAGCACACATATCTTTCCACAAAAGAAAAAATAAAATTCCTAAAAATAAATTAAATTGTTCTTTATAAAAAAAATTACTCCTTGAAAAGTCAGGCTTCATTTTTAGCTTTGTATGTTATATATGCAAAATCATAATTATATTTAATACTCATTGATATCATGTCACTTTTGTCATTAAATATAAACGACAAGTTACTCAACATTTACGTGAAAAAAAAAATTTAAGTGATTGAAGACTAACTTTATCGAACACTTCACTATCTCCTTTTATGCATGTATATATAACAAACCACTCGACTCAACTTTACGTCAAATGCACAACATCCCAGAATAGAAGGCGAGAGTCTATTAGACGTGGTGAAAACTACTATATTCTTATCATTTTTATCTACCTGCTCCATTGTAGACATATTTGTTTTATTTTTCAGTCAAATCAACTCATCATTTTTTTTTTCTACAACCGTCTTATTCTTCTATTTCTTCACTTCAATTTTTATTTTTTTCTTTTATCCTTCTCTATACATATCTCAGCACAGTAGTGTCTTGAAAAATACAATAGAATCTAAATCTGGCCTACTTCGTATTTTATTTTTATGTAGACTGCTTTCCTAATATTTTCTACACATAAATAGTAAAAGCAACACTAATACTGACGGTAAAAGTTGTAGCAGAAACTTAAATAAAGAATGATATAAAGAGAACAGCATAAAATAAAACAAGTATTAAAAGACGGTAAAGTATAATGATAGGTTAAGGCATGAAAGGGTGGAGGGAAATGAATAAAAAAATAAGGCAAACAAATTCAAGAATAACGAAACAATTTTTCATACTATTGTTGACATTTTCTCATCTTTTCTTATAAATACATTCATGTATAAATATATAAGGATTCTTATAAAACTCCGTCATATAATTCCGATCGCTAACTTCGTCTGCCTTAGGCGGGCGCGTTCGATCATTCATTTTTCTTCAGCAGTTTAAAACAAAAAAAAATTGGTAAATATAAATTTGCATGCCTTAAACACTCATGTTATACAGAAATCGATTGAAATAAAGTTTAAGTATATACAACAAGTTTTCAGTTATAATCTTAATAATAATTTCAATTTTTCAATCATTTCTTCTCAAACATCAATAGAAAAAAATAATTATTTACCATACACTACAAATTTTTTATATTTTTTAATCACACTGTAGATAGTTTGGGTACTTTTGAAATAAATTTTAAAAATAAGAATGCTATGACAGGATCAATTATAAATAATTTAATGGAAAATGTGACGAAACAAATTTATTGAACCAAAAAACTATTCAAAACTGCTCCAAATCACTGAAAAATATATAAACTCGTGAAAAAGCATAAATTTTTGTCAATACGTTTCTGATGATATCAAATTTAACTATAAAAATTCCTTTCAAAATATGCTCGTCACAAAATTTTCCTTATTCTCTCAATTATTTAAATCATAAATGCCTATCGCTGAAGGAATGGTAAACCCAGTTTATGATAAAGATATACTCATTACCAAATTTTTCTTATTCTCTTATTAACATATAAATGTTAATGCAATTTTATTAACTATCACTGCAACTAATATTCGCAGATACAAAACTTTTATTATCCAGGAAATGTTAAGCCATGACAAATAAATATGAGTGATGTCAGGTTATGGTCAGCGATTAATTTATAAAACTAAAGAGCGCATGAATATATTATAAATTAATTTATTTTTTCAAATAAATG